CCGTAGGGGGGGGGGGGGGGGGGGGGGGGCGGGGATGCGAAGCCGACCCCCCCCCCCCCTCCCACACACATTTTGCGTAGGGTTCGGGGCCCTCTATTTTAGAGGGCAAACGGTGCCATTTGGTACGGTTTAGTACTATGATTCAGCTACTCAAAAGTCTAATTTCAAGAGGGGACCAGAAATTGAAGGGGGGGGGGGGTCAGGACCCCCCTTAGGTGGCTACGTACGTCGTACTGATAATAAAACCGAACAGAAATGCTCTTACCCAATGTGGTTAAAACGGTTGTCGCCTGCAAAGAAAAAAAATAAATGTATTAGGGAATGCAAGTAAAGTATAAACCGTGTATTTGGGGGGGTGAGGGGTGGGGTGGGGTGAGTGTACCTTTCCCTACATTCCTTTGGGGTGGGGGAAAGATATGCTTTTTTATAACAAAAAGAGAAATTTGAAGACCTGTATATGTACCCCATATATTCATAATATAAGAGATAATTTGAAAACTAAAATACTGATGGAACTGGTTTCTCGAAAACAAGTGCGCGCTTTGTGTTAAACCGGTCCTTTTACATACAAAACATCTTCAAAACCATTACCAGGTTATGACCAACCTTCGTCATCTTTAGATTAATTCATTCTGTGAATCAAAATCGAATCAAAATTGTACATGCTCTCAGGCTTACGCCATCATCTGAGTCATAGCGTGTCTTTCGGATCCATCCAGAGCTGGGCATGTTACTGTCACCGTACAAAAAATTTTTGAAGTATTTTGTTGAGCCAAATTGTAAGTGCTAAATTGTCAGCCCCTCTTCTTTTTTCACCCTTTGAAATTTTCTTTTTTAAATGCCATAGCAAATTTTAAAAAATATTTTTTTTTGTATTTTCCTTTGGTACGCAAAATTTAACAAAATATTGTGTGACTAAAATGTAATCTAAGGCGCATTTTTTCCGGAACTCAAATCAGGTTACATGGAAGATTCTCACAATGAAGTCAGTGAAAAAAGTAAATGGGAAAGGTAGGCAATGAGAAAAAAAAATAGCAAGGGAAATTTTTATTTGTTAAGAAAAATTAAAGGAATAAAAAAACAAGAAAAAAGAAAGAAAGAAGGAGCAATACAACAATTTCAAGCCAAAAACGATAACCGATCCGAGAACCAGCGTGACGTCATAATTGAAAAATTCTAGGAAAAGCACATCTGCGCCTGAAAAAGCAATCAATACTTTCTCTTCTTTCGTAATTGTCTCCGTGGCACGCGCGTTTCTATGTAAACTTACACAACATCTGTTAACCGAGTCAGCGTGACGTAATTCTTACGATTTTTTCGTGAGAAACGCTGTGTCCTATCGATCGTCTGCTAAATATGCGTAAATGCCTATTAGGCAAATTGTACAGAGTTAGCAGCGGTCGTCAAGGGCAAATGCAGCGTGAATGCAAAAAGGCGACTCCGGGGAGGACATGTGACCCTTGGTCCCCCTCCTTTTATTATTTAACCCCCGGTGATTGGAAAAAAAAGTCGCTCTCCCCACCGTTTCATATAACTTATATCCTTAGTCCGAAATGCACTTTAATACGAAATCTTTTCAAAAAATATTCGTGCCGAGTGTGAGTGATTTTTTTCTGTGAATTGTTGGCCCCATCCGCCCCCCCCCCCCCTCTTTCATGACATGCCGGGGCCACAAAAGTGAATATTGTTAAATGTTTTCCTCTATTATTGATTATCCTGCGTTTCAGTGAAACTGGTTAGTTTAATCAAATTTAATAGAATAAAGCAAAGTGAAATGAGATTAAAGAGAACAAAAAAGTGAAAGGAGATGAAATTAGGTGAATAAAAAAATAAATAGAAAGACCTTTAGGGTAGACCTTGGCCCATTATTTATTAAAGGAGCTACGATAAAATTTTGAGTGCAAAAATAAAAAAAGGATAGACGAACAGACAGCTAAAAATATAAAGATTATTAAGGAGAAAGGGGGTATATTAGTGGTTTGGTTTTACTGTGCTAATTCGTTTCCATATCAAATCAGATTTAGGATGTTAAAATCATCTAAGAGGAAAATAGGAGGCGACTTCTTCACCATAACAACAAAAAGGTGCGTTTTGATGAAAAACCCCAAGAACCCCCTGTCTACACGTCCGCTGTCGTGATGTCTAAACTGTAACACATAACTGCTTTCTGCTTTCGTAAGAACTTGTTTTTCTGCTGTTGGTGCCATCACGCCGTGCTATCGATTGCCATTCCTGTATTGACACTTTAACTTCAATAGCAATCTAAATACCGATGTTTGCTCTGTTACCGCGTTATGTAACTTTTACAGATAGCAACTAAAGTAATTCCTTTTTTCGCGATGCTGGACAAGTACTCAGGGGAGGAGGGTTGGGGGGGGGGTGCTGAGAACGTGATGTAATGATTGGGAAAACACAAAACGGGTCTAATAATTTTCTGTTTGCTAAACAACGATATTCTCACACTGCTTCTCTCTCTCTCTCTCTTTTTCTCGTGAACACATGCTCTCGCACACACTTAAAATTAATTTACACTTCCTCGCGCACGCACGAGTTTAGAATCACTGTGTTAGGGCCTACTTTTAAGTTAACAAACGAGCTAGTTACTTAAGCCGAAAATAAAAATGCATATAAATAAATAAATAAATAAATAAATAAATAAATGGTAATTGGCGAATTTAGCACCGCGCTGCGCTTCTTTCAGAATCACTTAACATCGGCCCTCACTCCTATTTCATTACTTCTTTATGTGAGGCAATATGCCGATGTAGATAAGCTGGCGGCGTGGCATGTTTGCAGTTACGTAACTCCTATGAGAATAAATAGCCCACCTGTCGATTACGTTCTTCAAAAGATAAGAAAAATCTCCAAAAATTTGACCACTAGAATATGAAATTGAAACAAATACTGGATATGATTTTTTAAAAATAACTGGCACACGTTTTTGATCTGTGAAGGATAATTTTCGTGAGGCTTGAAGATATTTCTCTCTTTGTCGCCCAAATTAAAATTACGTGAGCACGTGAGAAAAACGCGTGGGATATCCGGTGTCCGTGTGCGCATGCGACTGACCCATTTATGAATGAAATTTCCCATCATCCAAGCACCTAATTGAATTTCAGCAAGGAGGAAGATCGAAAAGAAAGCAAGGTTTGTGTCCGTTTTCTACTTCAAATACTTACCAGCTTTTCTTTTGCAGATATTATATGTTACATCAGTACCTTTTCTCACTAACTGTAGAATTTGGGCATTATTCTTGGGCGAATTTTGGAGTATGCAGAGAAAATACACCGGCGCTGTCGGCATTTTTTGTGGCCAGTTTGTTTACGGGGAGGGCGAAGGGCAAGCGACCTTTGCTCTTTTACGTTGATTGCTTCATGGTGGTATTTTTTCAATTACCTTCCCACTTTATTAGGTAACAAAATTAGCCCGAGAAGAATCGATAATAAAGTGGTATATGTTTTAAACCCTAAAAAAGATAGATCTTCAGTCCCTCTATCTTTTTATGTTGCATCGGGATATTGCATGAGCGGCAATGTCCGAGTAATTTGATGAGCCGGTCGGCTTGCGCTGCGCCGAACACGTAACCGTTAGAATTCCTGTAATTCTTGAAGACGATCGATATTGAGTTGTATACTAATAAGCGAAAAGCTTTATATGAGAAATGAAAATATCTTATTAGCTAATGTGAAATGAAAGTGTGTTTAGAAATGGCCTGATCGAGTCGCTTTGGTAGATTTTGCCGGCAGTAAGCATTGCTATATTCAACAGTAAAAAGAGAATGAGAAAAAATAGTTGATGAATATATATTTTTTTACATTAGGTATCTCTCATGTAAGAGAGAAAAAATGGTGCATTTTCATATACTTTTTGGGGATCCAAATGAATTTTATCATTTTTACAGAAAATTGTTCAAGCCAATCAGTGCTGTATATTTTCCCCTCCTTTTTTGTTGCAAATATGGATGGATCATGCGCGTTGATTTATTTCAGTTTTTTATAGAAAAGTATATATCAGAAAATAATATTATTATAAAATAGAAAATCAGAAAGTGGAAAAATATGCATACAAGTGGAGGTATACACCTATAATTGTACACAGCTCAATAAAATTTTATTTATTTAAACTTTACAGAAAAATGTGACTTAAAAAAATTTTAAGAGCCTTTCCCTTTTTAATTTAATGAACAGAAAAGAAATCTGATTTACAAAATTATTATAAATACAAAATTTGAGAAATGTTTTACATGTAGCTGTTTGATTGATTTCAAAGATGTGCATTTTTAGCTTGTTTTTTTTCATGAATTGTCTTTTCTTATAACTTAGCAGAATTGTTTTGA